GCCTATTATTGTGCTAGATATATTGACACATTGGATTGCTAAAGTATAGTCGTTATGGGGGAGGTGGTGTAGTTTTTCAGTTCTTTGTAAATCCATTTATTCATCAGACCAAAATGTATAGATTTATATTACTTACTAGGTACTCATAGCATGGAAATACCATGGTGAATTAGCCATGTCTCTGCCCATCCAGAGTTAATAATCTAGTCATAGAAATAAATAAATAAACCATTAAATTAGCTTTTTGTAAATGTCATAGCCAGCAGATGGATATACGTATGGGGGGCCCACGGGAAACCTGCCTGGTATTCAGACCAGGTCTGTCAGGTCGGCCTGACTCCTAGCCCACATTCTTTTCAACGCTTTGAGGGAGAGATACCGAAACAAATACACTTTTCGGCCTTGTTCCAACATATCTGTAACCCTCCAGTGGCTGGTGTCACTCCCCTCTGCTTTTGTTGTTGCTGTGTGCTGTCGAGTTGGAATCAACCCATAGCTGACCCTCCAGTGGGTTTTCAGAGACTGTAATTGCATGGGAGGAGATTGTCCATACTTCTCCCACGGAGCAGCTGGTGGATTTGGATTTTTTGTCTTTCACGCTTCTTACTGCTAGGCCACCAGAGCTCCTTCCTCTGCCACTAAGAGGCAAAACTGGAGGTCATTCTGAAAGAAATAGTGGTTGATTTTTTATTTTAATCTCAGTATTAGATATCCATTCTAAAGATCACATACTCAGGAGAAATAGCGAGAATAAGCAAGCATGTCTCAGTGTCATGGGAGTCGGAATCAACTGGCAGCTGACCCTCCAGCTGGTTTGTAAATCGACTAGGAGGAGACTGACTGTCTTTCTCCTGTGGAGTCACTGGTGGGTCAAACGTCCAGAGAAAGACTCAGCCTTCAGGTTAGCAGCACAACTCCCGTGGATTAGAGGCCATCAGAACAAGTGTACAAAGACCAAAATTTCTAAGTGTGTATCAGGGCCAGGGCAGAGGAGGTAACATTGCTCAGAAGCACCGAGACATTGGCAAAATTTGCCCAGATTAACACAGTTGGTAAATGTTGCATCAGCAAATGTTGTGTTATATACAGAGGGAGCTCTGGTGGTCTGTCGGGAGGTACGCTCCTAAGCCATAGGTGACACCTCTTCAGTAGTTCGAATCCCCAAGAGAAACATGGGCAATCTCCTCTCATGCAATTTACAGTCTTAGAAACCCTCAGGAGGGTCAGCTATGGGTCAATTCTGATTTGATGGCAATGAGAAACAGTGTGTTTCATACAGATGAACCTGGAGAAAGGATGAAAGTCACACAAGTGTTGAGGACTTTTGTTTATAGTGTTGCTGTGAGTTGCCTACGACTTGATGGCACTTAACAACAATAACATCAACACAGAGAGAGATCAGTTAGTTGGCCTAGTGGACTGAAAGCGATGCTACCAAGCCAAAGGTGGGTGACTTTTAATCCGCAGCCCTCAGGCCTGGTTTTCCTTGGTTTTGGTCAAACATTCTTTTAGGTTGTATATCCCTGGTGTGTCCACTTGCTGTGCAGAGGTAAATTGTTCTTGCTGTGAAGCTGAACACTGTGACACTGATGTGTCAAATGTGTTAATGGTTACCTATGGTGGGCAATGTTTGGTGGAGCTTCCAGATTAAAACAAGCTTGGAAGTGGCATCCACTTCCGTAAATAGCTTGTCTCCGGAAACCCTATGAACCTAAAGAGAGGATGAAAGTCACATAAGTGTTGAGGACTTTTGTTCATAGGGTCGCTATGAGTCACAAAAGACTCAATGGCACTTAACAACAACAACAACAACAACAAATAATTTAAACTATCTGGGACACAAACAATAAATGTCCTTATTATTATTATTCTTTTTAAAAAATTAGGATCCAGAAAAGGGTTGATTGTTTAGATAGCTTTATTCATGGCAAATTGCTACCCTTCCTCTGCCCTCAATTACTTTTCATCTCAAATTCCTTGTTTGTAGTACCATCTGCTACTCAGGTGGCCAAATTAGAAACGTCAGAATTATCCTCAGCTCCTCCCTCCTAGCAGCAGTTGCACTGTTAACTTTCTAGTGGCTCAAATCCACAAGCTGCTCTTGGGGAGGGGAGGGGAAGATGGGCACTCTCTGCCCATGCAGTTCACAGCCTCAGCAAAGGCGCTGGAGGGTCAGGAGTCGAGAGATGAGAGCCTCCCTCCTACTCCCCATATCAACTGATTCTACTTCAGAATCAACCCTTTCCTTGGTTCTCTCTGTCACTGCCCCACTGCCTTAGTCCGAACCTCCTCACCACATCAATTACTACAGAGGCCTAAGTGACTTCTCATCCCCCTGAGATACGTCCCGGCACAAGCTTCCTAGAAAAGCACATTGTTGTTATGTATGACTGATTCAGAGCTGACAAGTAGCTGACCCTCCAGTGGGTTTTCGGAGGGAGTACATTGTGCTAGAAAAGATTACCTGTCCTCTTCCTGCAGAGCAGCTGGTGGATTCAAACCACATACTTTTGGTATGGCAGGGCAGCCCCTTACCACCATACCACAAGAGCTTCCTGATGGAAAGAGCAAATGAACGGGTAGTTTTCAAACTCACATAACTCTGATGATTTTCCACTGTAGCTAGAATAAAATCCAGTGTCCTTGGTGTGGTGTATTAGGTTCTCCACAGAAGTGTATCTATGCAACACTGTGCTTAACAGCGATTGGTTCTGAATTTCTGAACTAAGTCAAAGCTGGGCATGGGAATTGCAACAGCCCATTGATTTCCTTGGAAACTTCTCGTTGATATCTTGCCTCAAGTGGCCCCGGAGCCCGTGCCGTACTTGTCCTCCCTTAGACGTGCCTCTGCTTCCTCATCTCTCCACCATCAGCCTCTGCCACACAGAATCTCTCACCTAATCCTCAGTGCAGCTCCTGCCTCTGCACACATTCCCTACTTCTCGCCTCTGGATCTCTCATTCATCAGTACATTCCTTCATTTCTCCAGAAAGTCTAAATCCAGGCCTCATCTGTGATCCTCCGGCCCTGCACTTAGGCTGTTATTTTAGTACTTGTCACAACACATTGAAGTCACTCATACATCTATGTCTTCTAACTTAACTCTAGCTCTCAGGTGCTTTTCACGTTTTATTTCTAATGTCTAATTTTAAGTTCGGCTACATAGTAAGTGCTCAGTGAATGTTGATGGTGTGTCCCAAGATTTCCGCATCGGTTTTCTTTTTCGTATGTACTGCTGGAGGTCTTTGCTACCCTGGCATCTCTCTTCAGTTAGGCAACAGGAAGCGGAGAAACCCAGAAGAGAGGCCACCCTGGGGCCCTCTCCTTCATCCTTGGTCATAATTGTCCAACTTCAAAATAAACTCTGTAACACCCCTCAGTCACCTGGCTTATCATACTATCAAAGGCTGTTTGATGTTGTCAGTTTTAGTAAAAAAAAAAAATTAGTATGTGAGGAGGAAATAACTGCCATTATACCATGAATAGCAGATAAGCATCACCAACATAAGACAGACAGCCCAGTGATAGAAAACCTCAGATCACCTGTCTCAGCCTCCGACTGGCACCACGTACAACACTGAACCAAACCCAGCCCACTGCTACCACAGTCCACTCCTACTCACGGTGACCTGATGGGACAGAGGAGACCTGCCCCGGGGGGTTTCCAAGATTGTAATCTTCACATGGAGATTGACACATCTTTTTCCTTTGGGAGGTTAGAACTGCCAGCCTTTTGATTTAGCAATTGCATATGTTACCTACTGAATAAGGTTCCTTTTATGGCATAGAGAGGATACATTTTTATATTTTAATAATGCTTCACACTTGAACTGCTGGGGTGAGTATATACTTGAGATAAAGGAAAAGTACGAAGAAGATTCAAAATTTTTTACTTAGTGCTAGGTTGTTCTACCCATAAAGAACTTAAAGCAGTGGTAAGCACACGTACAAACTACTTTTCAATCTGGATTTTATTTAAAAAACACAAATAAAAATGAAAAAGGTAATGAAGCAGACATTTGAATTAGAAAATTAAAATTGGGAAAATTGGAAGCACATGGAATTCCATTATATTAGTGAGGGAGAGACTTGGAGACTTGATCTGTTTATATCAATTTAACATAATGCAATACAAATTATATACATTGCTCATAAAATGAATCTAGAAGCTCCCAGTGAATTGAATAAATCTGTACACAACGAACTTCTGTGGTAGGGCTGAAGTATAGAGAAGTCTTTCATAACCCCTATTATTTTCCTAATCAATTAACCCCAACTTCAAACAGTCCCATTTTCATTTTAAGCAGAGCGGTTTCCCAGTTGACATTTGGGTAGGAGCAGTCGCTGTTCTCTCCACAGCTTTCAACTACTGAGACTGTTACATCTGGGGGCCAGAATTAGACAGCATTTTCCCACTTTTTTCCACAGTTTAAAGGTTCTCCCTCTATTTTGTAACTCATTAGTTTTTGGCATCCTCCAAAGGAGGTTGGCCAATATGATTCATTCCTTCTTTGAGCACAATTAGCTGTGAAAACAGATCTTAGCACAGGCGCCCTCACCCCCCAGAGGATTATTGAAGGTAGGAAATGCAGGTGATTATCAGAGTTTGCCTTTGATACAGACATCCTGCTCTCCTGCTCCCCTTTGAACTAACTTTGATATGCAATAATTAAGAGGGATTCAACCCCTGGAGGAGAAGCCACCGAAGCCCTGCCTCTTCTCTCCCTCTATTGAGTCCTTGTTTTGAACTATTGATCAAACAGATTTGAAGGGATTTGTTGAAGCCTGTGTGGGCTAAGACGGAAGGAAATGAGGGGGGAGGGAGGCGGGGAGATGAGGGGGCACATCTGGCTATAAATAGTTTTAGAAGAAGCCTGCTGGTCAGATGTCATTCCGCACACACCTTGCTTAGGCTAAGATTTGAATTTCCACCTTAGTAAAAACTCGGCTGGGAGGAGGAGCAGAGAGTTCCCAGAGCCTAGTGACGAGGGAACGGAAGGATGGTGGTGGTGCTTCTGCTGGGCTTCTGCGGCTTCTGGTCTCCACTGGCAGCGCTGGTTCTGGACTTCAACAACATCAAGAGCTCTGCAGACGTGCAGGGCGCTCGGAAGGTAAAACGACGCCCGGGAGGAGGCAGGGCACTGGGGCTGGGGCTGAGGACAGCATTCTGGGTGCTGTGATTCCGTTTAGGTAAATCTTTCAAACTAATACGTAGAATATCTAGAGGCTAAACCGGATTGAGGAGTTGGGAAGGCATGCTGGTAGAAAAGTAAAGGCATGCTTTACTTTTAACACATTACTAAAACAGTATTCAGGGCTTTAAACAAACTGGGAATTAGCTTAAAAATCAGAAAGAAAAACCGACATTAAAGAAAACTATATGCCATGTCCTAGGTCTTTTTTGTAGTATCCCAATTAATCACCTTCTCAACATGACTGTAGGTATCAGAAGGGTGAGGTTGGCGCAGGACAGGACTAGGTTCAGATCTTTTGTTCATAAGGTCGCTATGAATCATACTTGATTTGAGGGCACCTAACAACAATAATTATAAAAAAGGCAATAAGACTCAGGCATGCTAATAAATTTACTTAAGGTCACCCAGTCAGTAAACATGGGATAAAGAATTCGATGAAGTGTCATGATGCATTCTAGTCTAATGTCACAAAACTGTCCTGAGGATCATTTCTGATATATATGTATATATATGTAGCATAAGTTGTGGATGAGGGGGAAAAATCGATCTTTGGTGGTGTCGGGCCTTAATCAAACTCAAATCCCAATTCATGGGAAGGCTCACAGAAGTGCCGGTTGGCAGGTGGGCACAAAAACTTATCTGATTCGCTGGAGTAATCAGTCAAATAGAAATCACAAATACATCACACTTGGTCAACCTGGAGCACAGCTTCTGAAGTTAACAAATAGAATTCAAAATCTCAGGCATGGCATCCATGGGGAAACTTGTGTTTTCTTGTTTTCACAAAAAGTACAAGAAAATACAACTTGGAGATTTGAAAGAGTGACAGTTTTTTCAAATGCAAATGACCTTTTGATGCCTAGGTCTCCGAAGTAGTGAATATGTAGATTTTTTTTTTTTGTGGGAGAAAACAGATTTTTACATTAAGATGCTACTGAAAGTTAAAAAAAAAAAAAGATGCTACTGAAAGTTTGCCCCAGCATTGAAAGCCACTGTGTTTGGCTGTCTCCACCTTGCTTCGCAGGGCTCACCGTGCTTGTCTGACAAAGACTGCAACACCAGGAAGTTCTGCCTCCAGCCCCGAGAAGAGACCCCCTTCTGCACCACCTGCCGGGGGTTACGAAGGAGGTGCCAGCGCAACGCCATGTGCTGCCCGGGAACGCTCTGCATAAATGGTACCAGCAGTAACTCATTGCTGAACTGCTTTGCTTCCATGAATAGTGGGTTTATAAAGACAGCTAACACCTGACTCTCATTGGTTAGAGTATTCTAAGATGGGTGCTCTTTGTAAAGGTTTACTGAGTTCACCTTTTGAAGTAAATTTATACAACTGCCTCTGCTCAGTGAGGGAGTTCTGGTGGCATAGTCACTAGGGAAAGGCAACGGCAGGGCCCCACAGGACAAGGATGGGCAGTCTCCTCCTGTGCGACTTACAGCCTCTGAAAACCTACTGGACAGTCAGCTGAGTGTCAATTCTGACTCAACTTCAATGAATTTTGAGTTTTACTTGATGCCAAAAATTCTTTTCCCCCAATCAAGAACGGTAGCCGACAAAGTGGGGATAGTTTTTAAAAGGAATCAGTTGTAATCTTTTTAATTATTCTATTTTACTTGGATTCCATTAATTGCTTAACTGCTTTGCCATATGCATGTAAATAATAGTGCACCTGTCCCAGAAATCTAGAAAATTATGTAGAAGCTGACGGCAGAAGTGCTGCCAAGCACTATCACAACATCGTTAATTAGCACGTCTGCGTTCCCACAATCCTTGAAGTGTCTAATTCTAATTACACATGATTGTTCCTCAGATGTTTGTACAATAATGGAAGATGCAACCCCAATGTCGGAAAGACAGGCTGATGACCAAGATGACACAGATACAAAAGGAACAACTGAGCATCCAATTCAGGAAAACAAACCCAAGAGGAAGCCGAATCCCAAGAAATCACAAAGCAGTAAGGGTAAGAGGTGCACTCTCTGCATATTTTATATAACAGTCTCTCCCCCTAGGCTCTTAAGGGTAAAACTGACTTTACTCCTCCTGACATAAGAAGCACGCTCTGATGTCCTAGTGGTAAGAAACTGTTCTGCAATCCCAAAGGTATGTGGTCCAAATCCATGAGCTGTCCTGTGGGAGAAAAATGGCACTCTCCTCTCATGCAATTTAGTGCCCCTAAAAACCTGCTGGAGGGTCAGCTATGACTCAGTACTGACTAGATAGCATACACCACCACCATCAGAAACATGTAGGGGGCACATCCTGCTTCTAAGCTATTTCCCTACGAAGCTACCGAGGGCTCAGAGGGGGGAGTACATTGCAGTCAGCAGGTCCAGGGGACATGATACTAGACATAATTAGTTACCTAGAGAACCTTTCATTCCATTTTATGCACTGTTCACATTTCTACAGTCTGTAATTTAATAAATGGCAGTTTACATTCTTAGATCCTCAGAATACAAAATAAAGGTGACCTTTTGATCCTTGTGCAAAACACAAACTCCACAAAATTCTAGTCTCAAACGCCAATCTTTGTCATGTACGAAGTTGGTTAACTGGCCCTTTTATTAGTAATGGTTTCCTTTTTAGCAATATAAACCTATGCAATAAACTATTGCCGTGTGACACTTATTTCTTAATCCTAACATCCTTCTTTAACAAATGTTTTAACTTTATGAAACAGAATAAATTGTCAGGTAGGACTGGAATTTCCATTTCATTATTGCTTTTAGCCAAGCCTGAAACCTTATTGAAACCTACGTGTTATTGCTACTTCTGCTTTGTGGCCTCTTGTTCACCTTTTATCCCCCTCGTTAATAATCCCCCCATGTGTCACTTTTCCCAGCTTTCTAAAACCCATTTTAATCTTGTTATAGGACAAGAGGGAGAAAGCTGCCTTAGAACGTCTGACTGTGGACCTGGACTTTGCTGTGCTCGTCACTTCTGGACTAAAATTTGTAAACCAGTGCTATTGGAGGGACAAGTCTGCTCCAGGAGAGGTCATAAAGACACAGCTCAAGCTCCAGAAATTTTCCAGCGCTGTGACTGTGGTCCCGGACTATCATGCCGAAGTCAAGTTACTGGCAAACGCCAGCATGCACGGCTGAGAGTGTGCCAAAAGATCTAAAAAGTTGCAAATATTTCAAAATGAGGAAGAGATCTTACTGTATTTGAGCAAAAATCTCAGACATTAACTTGAGACACTGCCTCGTAAAGAATGGAAAATAGCTTTGACTCTTTGTCTATTTCTCCAGAAAACTCCCTGGCTAAAAAAATGTTTTTGAAAAGGTTTGATTTAGTGACTCAAAATGAATTTTTAAAAGCAATTTCTAGTGAAGGGCTAGTATCTGACAACAAGGAAGGGGGGAACAGTGATAGTTTCTGGAGTTAAAGTAAATGCATTCTTGCATTTTACCACTGAAAATCATTATAGCAACTTTTTTCTTTAAAAGTCTACGGTTTATTTTCCTTCATTTCTTGAAAGGGAAATAGAATTTGGTCAATAAAATAAAAGTAGAAAGCTTTTAACACTTTATATAGACCTTTACAATATATAAAGCTCGTTCCCATATTTTGTTTTTAATAAGTTTAGTTCTTGATTATTTTTTACATTTTATATTTATATAGGTTTTATATTTGAAGCCAGACATTTCAAGGAGTGTTTCTATTATGTATTTTGACTATCTAACTAGTACATGAGAGAAAAACTCGTACAAAAGAGTGAAGTGTTTGTGACATTTAAGAGACGTACTTTGTGATGGGTACACATTAGAAGTCGTTTTACTTAGAATGCTCTCTAATGGACTGCAAACAAGTACTATAGATTGAAGATAAGCTGTACATCTGTTTTTCTATGTAAATTATATATTTTTTTAAAAATCAAATATGGGCCAATAAAAGAAAAATTTAATTAAGGTCTCCAATTTAAAAAAAAGATATTGAATCTTTTCCCAGAGGCTAACCTTTAGGTGTGCATTGACTAATTTGTAATCAATAAATCAGAGGAAGGGTAATCAGGAAATATAGTTTACGGGATCAAAGAGAGAAACTAAAGAAAAAAAAGTCCTCTTAAAGACTTGCTTTCAGCTCATCTTTTACTTATCTCTACTGTACCTTAGTCCACAGAGCCTGATGGCCTCGTGGGTAAGAAGCTGAGCTGCCAACCCAAAGGTAGGCAGTTCAAATCTACCAGCTGCTCCACTAGAGAAAGGTGGGCAATATCCTCCCATGTGATTTACTGCCTCTGAAAACCTGCTGAGGGTCAGCTAGGGTTTTAAGTTTTAACTTGATGGTAAACAACAACATTAACACACTGTATTATAGGGTGATCATGAACACAATATCTAAGTTCAAACTGAAGATATATCTGTTAATTAAGAACAACTTCAACTGATAGTAGTATAAGAGGCTTTATTTGACTACAGTGCCAGCTAAAGTGTGATGAAGAAACAATCACTTAAAAACACCAAAGACCCTTACATAGCAAAGGTTAGGAAATAAGTTAAGACTCCTGCTGGGCAGGCCTGGCAGGGAGGTCAGCCCTCACTCGCTCCGGTCCTTGGGCTCTCGGTATTTCCACTGGATGTAGTCAAAGATGTCTTTCTCACTATCCACTGGCAAGGGTTCTCCAGCAACTCCTGCAAGTGGAGACAGAAAAGAAACTGATTTCTAAGGATCAGTTATAGAACTGAGATACGGGAGACTCAATACCTTGAATCATGTGGGACCTGTTGTGGGGAATAAAGAAACGGCAAAATCAAGGACCAACTCATTCACAGGCATGAGCCTGTGGCTGGGCTTTGCCACCTATGTCACCTGTGCTACGAAAGAAGTGTCCCAACTGTGGTCACTGAAGTAGCTCTACTTCATTATTTTTATTCCTAACGGCTCTCCACTGCAGTAACCATAGCAAACCTGCAACTCCAAACATGGTCCCTAGGATTGGCGTCACCTGGAAGCTTATAAAGACAGACTCTTGGGCCCCAAGATGCAGACTACTGAGCTCCACTAAATTTGATGAATTGTTGTTGTTATGTGCCGTTGAGTCGTTTGCGACTCATAGCGACCCTATGCACAATAGCCCTAAACCCTGCTCTATCCTGCGCCAACCGCACTACCTCTGACACACCCATCCCGATTACCCCAGCCACCGAATCAATCCATCTCATAGAGGGTCTTCCCGTCCTGTGCTGTCCCTCCACCCTCCCAAGCATGATGTCCCTCTCCAAGGACCCGTCCCTCCTGGCAACATGTCCAAAGTATGTCAGACGGAGCCCCAGAATCCTTGCCTCCAAGGAGTAGCTTGGTTTATTCCTCTCCAAGATGAATCTGTTTGTTTTCCTGGCAGTCCATGGTACATTCAGTACTCTTCTCCAGCACCACAGCTCAAAAGCATCCACTCTCCTTCTGTCCTCCCTAGTCATTGTCCAACTCTCTGATGCATAACAAGCAATTGCAAAGACCATGGCCTGTATCAGGCGCACCATAGTCTCCAGAGAGACACCGTTGCTCCTGAGTACTTTAGAGAGGTCCCTAACAGCAGACTTTTCCCATCGCGATATGCTTTTTTATTTCCTGACTGCTGGTGCCAAGAGTGTTGACTGTGGAGCCGAGCAAACTGAAGCTGTGAACAATCTCAATCTCTTCGCCATCCATCCTGACGCTGCCAATTGGTCCAGTGGTGAGAATCTTTGTCTTTTTGACATTGAGCCTCAGTCCATACTGAAGGCTGCAGTCCTTGACCCTTCGCAGCAAGTGCATGAGGTCCTCCTCAGTTTCAGCAAGCAGGGTTGTGTCATCTGCATAACGCAGATGAGATCTATATTTGTTCCCATTCCAAAGAAAGGTGACCCAACTAAGTGTGGAAACGACAGAACAGTGTCATTGATTTCACATGCAAGCAAGATTCTACTGAAGATTATCCAAAAATGATTAGAACAGCACATCAGCAGAGAATTGCCGGAAGTCCAGGCTGGGTTTAGAAGGGGTCGTGGTACTAGGGATATTGTTGCTGATGTTAGATGGATCTTGGCTGAAAGCAGAGAATACCAGAAGAATGTCTATCTGTGTTTCATAGATTATGCAAAGGCATTTGACTGTGTGGATCATAAACTGTGGCTGACTCTGAGAAGAAGGGGAATCCCAGAACATTTAATTGTGCTAATGCGAAACCTATACTTGGACCAAGAGGCAGTAGTCAGAACAGAGCAGGGTAACACTGCATGGTTCAAAATTGGGAAGGGTGTACGCCAGGGATGCATCCTGTCTCCATACCTTTTCAACATGTATGCAGAGCAGATTATCCGAGAGGCTGGGCTCTATGAGGAGAATTGTGGCATCAGGATTGGTGGAAGATCGATGAATTAGAATCTGCATTTTAATAATGTCACCAGGAAATCTGATACACACTGAAAAAATGAGGAGCTCTGCCTCTTTACTAGGAATGAAAACCCTGTTTTATGGATTTAGAACAAAATGACAAAATCTTTTTCCTAGTTAAGAAGAGAAAACTCTATTTTTGCAAAATGTTAACAGGACTGATAAAGCAAAGTAATCTTTCTCATTAAGGCTTAAAAAGCAAATTACACTGCAACCCCAGGGGTGCATGGTTCGAATCCACCAGATGCTCTGCTGGTGAAGGAGGGGCAATCTCCTCCTGTTCCAGTCAGATCTGATTTGACAGTACACACACCAACAATAATAAAATAAAATTTAAAAAAGATTAAAAAAACCCCACAACAAATTAGGGGTAGGTGTGTGCAGAGGGGAATGAGTGACATTACCTAATTTTATCTGGCAGGAACAGGAACAAACAGTACCTAGGATCTACAGAAGTCACAGAGATACAGAGAAGAAGAATAATAAAACCCACTCAAAACTTAAGATTGGTAAGATCTCTAATTGACAATTCATCACAGGCAGAAAGGATGTGACCCATTCTAACAGAGTTAAAAAAGGCTGTATAGATAAGTTTTTAATTAAGGACCTGAGAACTCCTTATGGGTTATAAAGGTCCATTCTATTAAATGGTTAAAGATGTCTGAGGGACTTACTACCCCAGTGGCTGTCAGATTAATTTTGGTTCATGGAAATCTCATGTGCTGTAGAGAATGACACTTCACAGGACTTTCACGGCTGTAACCTTTCAGCAACATATTACCAGGCCTAGTGCTTCCCAGGGTCTCTTACCAAAGAATACTTAGCAGTACAATTAAGTGGTATGGTTATTAGAAGATGTTTTAGAGAAACTAATGTTGCAAATCCAAAATATTATAGAAAATAACTATCTAAAGGAGCAGGGTTGTCGGACTGTCTCTAAGGCAGATATGAATACTCACCAGTAACTCCCAAGGGACGGATTGTGTACTCATTGATTGTAAATCCTTTTTCTAAGGCATGAGCCCTCATATTCTTATTGAAAATGTCACTCCCAGTGAAATAAAGTACACCACAGTAATACTGATCTTTGGGTATCAACCTAAAACAAAGAAGACCAGAGAAAATATTTTACCATACTTTCAAATTTGGTAGAAACAGAAGTAAACTCAATAAGCACAAAGCATATAAGGAGCAGGAGAACATCACTAGGTAGAACACTGAAATTCCCTAACACTGCAGTAAATGCAGCGTTCAGTACACTCAAGAGTTGTGAAGAAATAAAGAGGGAATCACGTAACTAACTTACTCCAGGCAAAATACTATTTTTGAGCTGTAGAAGACATGATGGTGAGATGCAAATATAGTAAAAAC